GATACGCCTTGCTGATGAGTGCCAACTAGCACGAAACCTAGGTCCAAGGCTTCCTGCCGATTGCCTCCAACCATCTAATACCAACCACTCACAGTGCACCGTAATGGCGAGCCACCTAGCATGGTGGCCACATTGCAAACATGACTGATAGAATTCAGTCTGCACCGAAGATAGGACTAGATACATTACACTAGTCACTGACTAGTGTGCAATCAAAAATATCCAATACGGTCCTACAGGAGGTCAGTCGCGAGCCTGAATAGCTCAGTGGTAACGTCTCTGACTGCAGCACTGGGTGACGCGGGTTCGAATCTCAGAAGGGACATCAGTTCCTTCAAGGTTGCAGATACGCCTTGCTGATGAGTGCCAACTAGCACGAAACCTAGGTCCAAGGCTTCCTGCCGATTGCCTCCAACCATCTAATACCAACCACTCACAGTGCACCGTAATGGCGAGCCACCTAGCATGGTGGCCACATTGCAAACATGACTGATAGAATTCAGTCTGCACCGAAGATAGGACTAGATACATTACACTAGTCACTGACTAGTGTGCAATCAAAAATATCCAATACGGTCCTACAGGAGGTCAGTCGCGAGCCTGAATAGCTCAGTGGTAACGTCTCTGACTGCAGCACTGGGTGACGCGGGTTCGAATCTCAGAAGGGACATCAGTTCCTTCAAGGTTGCAGATACGCCTTGCTGATGAGTGCCAACTAGCACGAAACCTAGGTCCAAGGCTTCCTGCCGATTGCCTCCAACCATCTAATACCAACCACTCACAGTGCACCGTAATGGCGAGCCACCTAGCATGGTGGCCACATTGCAAACATGACTGATAGAATTCAGTCTGCACCGAAGATAGGACTAGATACATTACACTAGTCACTGACTAGTGTGCAATCAAAAATATCCAATACGGTCCTACAGGAGGTCAGTCGCGAGCCTGAATAGCTCAGTGGTAACGTCTCTGACTGCAGCACTGGGTGACGCGGGTTCGAATCTCAGAAGGGACATCAGTTCCTTCAAGGTTGCAGATACGCCTTGCTGATGAGTGCCAACTAGCACGAAACCTAGGTCCAAGGCTTCCTGCCGATTGCCTCCAACCATCTAATACCAACCACCCACAGTGCACCGTAATGGCGAGCCACCTAGCATGGTGGCCACATTGCAAACATGACTGATAGAATTCAGTCTGCACCGAAGATAGGACTAGATACATTACACTAGTCACTGACTAGTGTGCAATCAAAAATATCCAATACGGTCCTACAGGAGGTCAGTCGCGAGCCTGAATAGCTCAGTGGTAACGTCTCTGACTGCAGCACTGGGTGACGCGGGTTCGAATCTCAGAAGGGACATCAGTTCCTTCAAGGTTGCAGATGCGCCTTGCTGATGAGTGCCAACTAGCACGAAACCTAGGTCCAAGGCTTCCTGCCGATTGCCTCCAACCATCTAATACCAACCACTCACAGTGCACCGTAATGGCGAGCCACCTAGCATGGTGGCCACATTGCAAACATGACTGATAGAATTCAGTCTGCACCGAAGATAGGACTAGATACATTACACTAGTCACTGACTAGTGTGCAATCAAAAATATCCAATACGGTCCTACAGGAGGTCAGTCGCGAGCCTGAATAGCTCAGTGGTAACGTCTCTGACTGCAGCACTGGGTGACGCGGGTTCGAATCTCAGAAGGGACATCAGTTCCTTCAAGGTTGCAGATACGCCTTGCTGATGAGTGCCAACTAGCACGAAACCTAGGTCCAAGGCTTCCTGCCGATTGCCTCCAACCATCTAATACCAACCACTCACAGTGCACCGTAATGGCGAGCCACCTAGCATGGTGGCCACATTGCAAACATGACTGATAGAATTCAGTCTGCACCGAAGATAGGACTAGATACATTACACTAGTCACTGACTAGTGTGCAATCAAAAATATCCAATACGGTCCTACAGGAGGTCAGTCGCGAGCCTGAATAGCTCAGTGGTAACGTCTCTGACTGCAGCACTGTGTGACGCGGGTTCGAATCTCAGAAGGGACATCAGTTCCTTCAAGGTTGCAGATACGCCTTGCTGATGAGTGCCAACTAGCACGAAACCTAGGTCCAAGGCTTCCTGCCGATTGCCTCCAACCATCTAATATTCTGAAATCACTTGGTTCTTCTTGATAAACTTCGATTTATGAAGGAAGACCAGATTTGCAGTATAAGATGCTATCATGATTCGATTTCACACGTTGCCGTTTTCAGCTGCATACCACTACCTGAAATTACAATGGTTATAAATAATAATATTTCATACTTCGCTGTTTGAAGGCTAATAGTGAAAACATTATAAGATGAACGCTTCCGGAATATAAAGATTATAATTTATAGTTTAATTTACCATCAAATTATATACTATCAAAGTATGAAAAAGTGGGGAGGGGGTAAGAGAGGACAAGAAACAAAAAATCCGAATGAACAGTGTTAGCTTGTACGTTAACATGGCAACTCAAGAAGATCCAAGTTAATCAAATTGAAAACTTGTTCAGTGAGCTGAGCTCACTAGTGTAATACGGTTGGTTACCAAGGGAGTGAGAGATTGACTACACCATCTTTCTGTGTGCATAAGTTTTGTCTGAGACGTTTGATTGCAATTGCTTTAGCAAATCGTAGTAGATTCGCTATCCTTTGTATGTTTAATATTTTGAAGGAATTGGAAATCTCAATAAAATGACCCGTATCCACAGGTTGGGTGTCTGGTAATTGCAATTTGTAAATATCGGCTTCCTTTTAAGCATAAGTTTCTCGGAATATGGTCTGAAAACCGGATAGAAGCCCTTCTTTCTGTCCTTCCAATGTACTTGCTGAAGCAGGTGCACGTAAATTTATAAATGCATTTGGAAATAACATCAGCAGGGTACTTATCCAGTTTCGATTGGCTTATAGAGCATGTAATTTCAGGTAGTTTGCAGTTAGTTGATGAGGGCAACCTGTGAAATAGAATGATGATACCCTTTTATACTGCAAATCTGGTCTTTCTTTCTCTATCGAAATTCTGAAATCAGTTTGGAAATCTTCTGCACTCCTCACCACTCATTTTATTTATTTATTTTATTTATTATTCCTGTGGGTTTCGAATGTAATATAGCACTTCAACAATACATTTCCACTTTATTCTATTTGGCGCTGTCCATAATGTCTCTTTCCCGCCACCGACTAAGATGACCTCCTCCATGTCACCCTCATACCCAAAACCCACTCATCGCTTCCCATTGCAACCCACTTGAAGTGGACAGCACCAAATCGATTACAGTGGAGATGTGTTATTGAAGCCGTCTCTATTTTCCACTCGGAACCCAATGGAACAATAGTAATAATAATAATAAAAATAACACCTAATGGTTACTAATGTCAACGGATCCACAGTCGCCTCCCGATAAACATTCATGATCTTGAAGACTTAACTGTATTACATATTGCGTTTTCACCAATGCACTGTCTAGGTTGGACTTCCTGGAATTTTGATATGGTTGTGTTCTCTGAGCTGAATAGTTAATTTGCGAAGCTCTAACTGACATCAGTCTGTTATCGAATTCGAGATAAATCAATTCCCTGAAATGTGGCTCTTGAAAACTTCAGTGTAATGATTATTTATTTAAGCTTACATTCAAAAGCGAAGTTTCTTTAACATCAGGTGTTACTGATAACTAGAATATCTGCTTTTACATGAAAGGTTGTAGGCAAATCTCCATAAGGTAAAAATAGTTTGATTAGCCCAACGAAACTAGGTATCAGATGAGTTTACACCGCTTCAATTAGTTTAAATGTATATATCATGGTAAGCAGAGGTAGAGAGGAGACCGTCAAATGACATCGCGCGCAATAACGGCCATCACTCGAGTGGAATCCAAATGGGAAGCAACGAGTGAATCGTCAATGCCAGAGTAACAAGGAGGAGGTTGTGCGAAGAGGAGATGAGACACTGTGAGCAGTCGTCGAGCCAGCACAAAAATAGATAGAAGACAGTGGAGATGTGTTACTTAAGCCCTATGTTCCACTGAGAACCCAAAGGAATAATAATAATAACAATTAATAGAGATTAGTTTTCAGAGAGAATGTTGTGGAAATTCCAGTCAATCGGACACTTCAACCAGAGATGAATGACGAAAATGAGACAGCACAATTTATAGGATTGAAGAGGATATTCTTCATGAAGGATACAGAGTTATTGTACCTCCAGTTACTACACGACATTTGAAATTTTGAAATTCCAATAGCTGGATGAATTTGTGGTGAATAATATGGACTGTTTTCAAGTTGTTGTGATTTTCGATTGTTTTTTGACAAAACATGCATGTTACACGAATAACTGCAGTCAGCACTAAGGAATGAGTGCTGTTCAGGAGATGCGGTAAAGATTTCATCTGGAAAAATAACGCCTTGAAATGAACTCAATGTGATATAATATCTAACACTAAACGGCAGTCCTTTGGTTGAATGTCGACAGTACTTAGAACGGTGTACCCTTTGTTTTGACCATACATGTTTATGTCGTTGAAGAATAATCTGTAGTCAGCTGTATTTTTGAGTCGTTTTCAACGTATCTCTTAGTCTGTTTCAAAGAGATAAATACTCAGGGAGTAGGATCATAATGCGAACATAACAAAATGTCGCTTCGAATGACATACTGTAGATTAGTGTTCAACTTGAAGATTCTGAATAAACCAAGCTGAACATTTAAACTGTATAAAAACATGTTCAGATTGGAGATCTTATTATTATCCTCGCCGAATATACTTGCTGGTGATCATGTTATAATCATCACAAACTGGTAGAAGTCATAATCTAGCCTACGAATGCTCTGGGTTAGAAACCAGGGTGGCTTGATGCTACCCATAAACGGATGAGTTCTTTTGACTAAGCCAGACCAACTCTTTCAGGTTCCCTTAGCTCACAGTCAAACTCGGAACTACTGAAGTTATTCGGTTTAACACAATACGGGCAGAATATGCGCTCATTTCATTTATCTTGTAAAGCTTTCAAAATTATATGCTCATACTGTTTGGAAAGTAAATTTTGCGCCTTGCCTCGTTTCTCTTCTTCTTCCCAGTCGTCGTATCCATTTCCTATTGATCAGATCTGTAAAGTCAATACAAGGATGATGATGATGATGATGATGATGATGATGATGATGATGATGATGATGATGATGATGATGATGATGATGATGATGATGATGATGATGATGATGATGATGATGATGATGATGATGATGATGATGATGATGATGATGATGATGATGATGATGATGATGATGATGATGATGATGATGATGATGATGATGATGATGATGATGATGATGATGATGATGATGATGATGATGATGATGATGATGATGATGATGATGATGATGATGATGATAGAAAGAGAGGAAGATAAAATATATTAAAAGAAATAAGCAGTGAACACAACTCACTGGCTTGTTAACATATATTTATTTTGTTTTCATAGTCAGTGAATGAGAAGCGACCGGAATTTAGTTCTCTTGCACTCTCTGTGAAAATAACAAGAGTACTGGTCGTAGTGAATGTATGTATATATACAAATTTATGCACACGGTGTGTTCATGTGGATATGCAATTGTGTGTTGTGACAAGCACTATCCATATTAAATAGACATAGCCCATTCATCAGAATTACATAACTGCATAAATCCATGTATATGAATTGAGATAATTAAGAAAATATAAAAATTAATTCTATTCAGTCATTAATTTATGACTTGTAGAGATATCCAGTCACCATTAGCAAACATGACAAGAGGATTATTTCGTTAAGAGGAAAATAGGAATGTTCATTAACAATAATGTGGACGTGGCTAGTGAAGTCTTACATCTGAGATTATCGAGAGCGATAAAACGGACTTATACTGCCGCCACCCTTTGTTTGTCATGTTCCAGCCGACCAATTTTGATTGCTCAAGTGAAAGATAAGCTACCTAGCTAGCTGTGCCACTTCGATGTGTATCTATAAATTTAGTTACTCCTGTGGAGAAAGCTATATAGGGCGAACAACTAGACAGCTTAACAAACGCATTAATGAGCATCTTCCTTCCCTCATGGTTCGGGAAAGGTCAAATAAAATCCATACGAAGTTCTAATTTGGCTCATTTGATTGATAGCGGTCACCAAGTGAACAAAAATAGTGCCGCTTTCAAAGTTATCTATCGTATTCCGTCGAGTCTTTCGAATGGAATCAGAACCCGTCTTCTACACCTAGCCGAAGCTATGGGAATTCGAGAGAACAATCCTAGACTTTGCATACAACCGAAGGAGTTTGTTCTACCTTTGTCTCTCCCTTGCTTAGCCTAGGTGAATTCTATTCAAAACCCTCCCACCCTTTCTTATTTTCCATCTCCTTCGTACTTTTATAATATTTATTTAAACTCTGATTATCGTTCCACTTCACCTTTTAAGATTTTGTTATCATTATAATCATCGTTATTAATTTCGTTCAAAACATTTAACACATTGTTATTATTATTATTATTAAGACTATTAAGATTATTATTTGATTCCCAAAATCACCGTCATTGGTTAAAATTTTATTAATAAATCTATGTAAATGAGAGTAAAGCCTGAAGAAGATCTCTAATTGAAAACAATATTGTTCGCTTATATGTCTTGTTCATTAATAATAGCACAGTGGTAGTTCATCACCGCGTGGAACAAACTGGCTGGATTCAGGAAAGACAAATCGTGTACTGATCATTAAATTGAAACTCTACGCATCATCATCATCACTATAGAACGAAGCGCGTAGAATGGCAGTGAAACTTCTATCTTAACTTCGTCGACTTCGAAAATGACTTTGACAGACAACGTTGACCGAGAAGCATTTTGTCAATAGCTTCAGAACTACTGTGTGCGGAAAACTGAGCGAAGTGAATACAGAAGTAAGACAAGCTGGCTTGCTGGTTGGCTGTCTGGCTGCCAACCAACCAACAAAAATAACAGCAACTAGCGTCGGTGGCGTAGCGGTTAGGACGCTCGTCGACCATGCACATGGTCCGGGGTTCGATCCCCGGCTGACGTACTCCTTTACCTCGCTAAGCCAGAAATAATGCTGGTGAAGAGGAAAGGTTGGGCATGAGGCTAGCAACCCCATCCTGTAAAATAAACACTGATACAGAAACTTCAGGCCACTAGCTTGAAGCCCTATGTTCCACTGGGGAACGTGAAGGAAAAAAAGCACCAATCACCATCAACGGGAGAAATTTGAGATAGAGGTTGCTTCCTGCCTTCACTTATCTAGCTTAGGCAGCCAGCATCGTTTCAACCACGGACAGCGGAAACGGATCAACATGTCAAAGCCAGTCAACCAGTGAGCCAGCCAGAATTGGGAAGGTGAAATACAACCCCCCCTGAAACACAAATGTCAGTGAAGTCAGTCAGTCAGTCAGTGCTTCTATACAGGGCAGAAACATGACCACCGTGTCAGGTGAAGAATTTCCAACAGCCAGCTGCAGACGTCTATCAACAGCTGCCACCTTCGATGGCTGGCTGGCTTCATACTGAAGAAGAAATGGCCAGCCAGCCAGTAGGCCGGTTGGCCATCCAGAAACAATTAGCAACAAGAAACTCTGGCTGGCAATGAGCGAACCAAACAACTATGAGCCGATTACTCAACAAATATTTAAGATATCAAAAGTATCGTATATATATATATGTATAAGGGAAAATGGTGATGGACTGAATTGGGCATAGGTTGAAGAGGCTTGCGAATGACGCTGCGTGCAATGTAGGCCATGGCTCGAGTGGAATCACAGTTGGAAGGGACGAGTAGGTGGTTGGTGTGAAGGTGACATGAAGGAGATCGTGTGAGTTGGAGGGAGGAGGAGGAGGAGATGAGCGATTATGAGGAATCTTCAGGCGCTAGCTAGCTGAAGAGGACAGGAGGAATCCAAGGGAATGGTAAATCATGAAAATTAGTAATATTTCTGATGCTGCCAGTAATAGCATTGCTCAGCAAAGAAGAATTTCGTGAAATATTTCCGTAATTCGTCTAGTTGGAATACATGACAACAGATTAACGATGTTATCCTGTAGTTATCCTTCATGTACACGATTTATGATTACATTCAAACAGACCATTCCATCAAATGGAACATCATTGCAGCTTGTCGGATGTAGGCCAGTCTGACGTATGATGTCACTCAACGACCTGGTCAGTGTTTTTTTATCCAGCCTGCATCGATTTCCCTCTCCATATTTGTCTATCCACTTGCTGCCTACCGGACTTCCATGTTGGTCATCCTTTATGATCATCCTTTATGTCTGGCTACTCAATCTTCAGTATCTAGTGAAGCAATGCTTTGATGAAAGTCTTCAGTACCATGTCAGAAATGCTCTCAGTGTTGTGCTAAATCATACAGAACCACTGACTTCACACGAGTTTCAAAAGTTCTGGTCTTTTAATGAACACTTCTATAGATTTTTCGATCCCATCCGATCTGATCCGATCTGGACTGCCTTTGATATCGCCATTCGTGCCGTCTGTCCTTAGTCGAAATGATGTCGCCTAGTTCAGGTCACTGAAATAGACGACTTTCTTTAGGTTCCTCTGCAGCCCCCCTTACCCTCTGGCTGTCATTCATGCTTGTTGCTGTTACTGATGGTCATGTTGGGTATCTTCCTTCATCATCTTCGTCTTCCTTATGTCCACCTGAATTCCTGTCTTCTTTGCCTCCTCTACAAACTTGGCAGTTTTCGTTTGTAAATTGTCCAGTTGGTGATCAATGTGAAAAAAATCTCGCTTAAAATCCATATGTCTTCGAGAGCCTTTTTGTTAGTTCAGTGCATTCCCATTTCTCACTTTCTGTGTCCTGAAGCCAGATCTAGTCTTCCACGGTAAGGCAGACCATCAGTGTTGTCACAATTCATCAAGAAACATATGTCTAAGAAAGTCTATCCGTAAACAAGAAGCCTTTATGCATACGACTGCAATTCGAGGGCGATAAACCCAAGGGAAATAATTTCGAAAAAGTTGAGAAAATGAGTTCATAGGACTTTTGATGTTGGCAAACTACAAGTCTTATTTTCTACACAACCGAAAGTGATTCCCCTATCAAAACATGAAGTACCTAGACTAGACTAGCTACCTCTTCTTGTATCTACCAATTCAACTGTGCTTGTGTTGCAGCGGGTTTTATTAGCCGTCGTTCTAAGAACTTCAGTGTTCGTACTCGCTCGCAAAAGCATCTACCATTGTGGTTAAATACAGGTGTGTAGTGAGAAACATCAATAGCTCGAAATGAGAACACTTGGTCCAAACACGACACAGAGGTAATACTGAAGAGTTAGTTCTTCTCCATCATCTATATGGTACCAAACAAACTGCAGATCTTTCCTGGTCCTCTCACAACTTGCTAGTTACTAGAAAGATGTTTCGCTTAACGTTCGACGTTAGGAAATTATGGCAGTCTGGTATAAAGCAGTCTTTGCTTTCTCAGTTTGTCAACTCTTGCATTCTAACGAACTTTCTTTACTGCTGCCCATTAATCTTTCCTGGACTACTTAAGAAAGACTTTGCTTTGCTGAGAAGGGCACTAAAAGCTGTTCCTAGGGGAAGTGTGATTCCGTTAAACCAACTGGTTAACACCATTGTGAATAGACATCTAATGTCATGTAAGAAACTAGCGAATTCTATATTGTCAGACCCCGAACACCCTCTCTATACGCAGCTCTCTCCTTGCATTTCATCTGGTAGAACTAGAAGCAACTATAGGAGGCTATATGCCAGGACTACCAAGTACAAAACTCCACAATACCTTATCTGGCACAGCTGTTATTATGTGATGAGAAATCCGTTAGGTATGACACGATCAACTTACTGCGGCACTCTAACAATTAGTTCCCATTAGCTTTTGTTCTCCTTTCTTTGTTCCTATTATATTGTTGTTCACATCTTCTATTACACACTAATTTTATATTTCATATTCTGTGGTGCATTGTTTAAATATGTGAATGCAATGCTGTTCTTTTTTAATTCTTCTATTTTTCTTTTTTTCTTTTTGTTGTTGTTGCTTTTTTTTTAAATCTTATAAAATTTATGAGGTTATTAGATGCAATATTGTAAATGCACGCTGAAAATTCCATACCTGTACGACAAATACTGTTTGGAATAAAGCTATTATTATTATTATTGTGATTCGCCCGAAAAATATGGTGACCTATGTGCAGAAGGAGCCAGTCCAACCATGAATGTGTATTATTATTTCTCCCGATATTCATTCAGTATGTATTGTTATGTTGATGCTATTGAACTGAAGTCCAATGATATCATTATTATTGATTCAATGTTATTTAAACAAAATAATTAAGGATGCGTAAAACAGTAGATTCTGTTGGTGAAGAAGACGTTATCGAAAATTTTAATAT